GAACTCCTAGATTCCCGTCTCCACTCTTTTTCAAAGGGCCTGCCAGCAGAATCCATTTCATCCAGCTTGGATTTCTTTTGATCCTTTTCAAAATGCTTCTTTCTCTCTGAGCACGATTGCACTATGAACATTTTATGCATCTGACAGGCCAACTACACAAAAAAGAAAACTCTTTAGGTTAATATTTAAACACACAGTTCAATTGATTTTCTCAATGCTGACCTCCAGAACTACCAGCTGTTTTCCTTTAGGGCTGTTCAAACTACCACCCTCTAAAACTGAAACTGTGATGAAAAGGTGGCTAAACAAAGATATTCCTTTACAAACAACAGCATGGAAGAAATCCCCCTAGTTCTCAATTCCCTCTGGGATGTGCATTTCACAAATGCCTGCATCTCAACCACAACCAATGGTTATGCTGGTTGGGGGAAACTGGAAGCTGCAGTCCAAACAAGTACATTTCCAGTCTCTCATGTGAACGCATGGAGTAGGGTGCAGATAGGGAACAACATACAGCATCCAGAGTAGTTCGTAGTCATAAAAACAAGCAAAAGCTAACATTAAAATAAAGACAAATTAAATACTAAAATATTAAGGTAGTAAAATGCTACGGTGCTGAAGGAGTTAGAACTGTGAAGTTCAGGACGGGAAACATCTGTGTTTGGATGTTGCACCCTCATTATGGACTATTCAATGACAAATGAAGGCCCCTTTATTTTCCCAGATATTTTAATCTTAAACCCATCCAGTGCTTCTCTCCCCCCACCTCCCTCTCTCTCTGCTGTGTTAATGTTTTGCCGCTTGTGGTTTTATTGTGAATTTATTGACTGTAACTTCTATTGTTCTTCTCAACATTCTGTTTAAATACGTCACTTCTCATTTTTTTATGGTTTTACATGTTAAGCAATAAGGTAATGTCAGTTCTTGGGTAGTACACAAATATTGTTAATGAATATTAAATTCAAATCCACATTTACACATCATTTACTGGCTGTAGGCAAGCCAATGTTGTGCACTGTAGAATTTCATTAGAGGATTGTTGGGGCAGTTAAAGAAGACTGCACTGCAGAATAATGCCACATTTGAATATATAAATATATCCTCTTTCTGGTCTGAATCGGATTTCACAATGATTAAAATCAGAACAATTCTGATTCTTTATGAAATTATTTTATATGTTACTGCAATGTGTGCATTTAATTGTATTACTGTCTTCATTTTTAATTGCTTGATTTTATTTTGTGCAGTAGCCACTGGAACTATGAGGGTTATCTGGAGAGTAAGGTTACAAGATTTTAAAAAAAATACATTCTTTTCCCACATAATCACCATTCAGTTCAATATATTTGGTCATCCATAGTTTTTGATGCCTGTGTCATAGAAGTTCCCTCCACCTTTTTCAGCCAGTTCATCACTTCAATCTTCACCTTATCGTGATCAAAAAAGTGTTTTACACCAAGGTGTTCCTTCAATTTATTGAACAGGTGATAGTCACTGGGTGCAAGATTGAGGCTGTGAGAGAGGTAGCTTCAATCTTCCCAACCAAATGATGTCAACAACTCTTGTGTTGCATGAGCAGTGTGTGAATGCATATTGTCATGAAGGAGATAGACTACCTCCATCAGCCTCTCACAATGTTTGTTTTGGATTGCTTTGTTAAGTTTCTTCATTGACTCACAATATATTCCGTACCCATTTTGTCACATGCTGTCTTGACATTACGTCCTCTCCATAAACTGAAACAATTTTATGATGAATTGCAGTAGCGTTCATGCCCTTAGTAAATAATTTAGGTAGCGTATTATAGCACAAACTTTGCATTTGGAGGGAAACAGAATGAGGACACTCATCTCTAACCTTCACCATAATACCAGTTGATGAGCTACTGACAACTGGCACTGCTCATTGCTTCCACTGGTTTCTCGCTACACGGCAGTGACCCCAACTTCCCCCGCGAGAGCTACATGCCTTGTAACCAGGCATGTAGCCAGGGGGGG